AGTTTTCTTTAGTAAACTGTCTTCAGAAATTTCATGTTTTAGATTGTAGGTCATCTTGGACATGTCAAGGACAAAGCTAACCAGCAAAACTTGATATCAAAAGCATCCTAAATGTTACATGTGTTTGCACCATATTGTAGTGAGTAAACTTTCTTGGTATTGCTGTTTCAAATATCCCACCATAATCTGTAGTCTGAGCCTGTCAAGGGCTAATGGCAATGGCAGATACGTTACTAGTTAGTTTCTTTTTTTGTTTGCCAAATAACCCTGTGTATGTGTCCGCCCCCGCAACCCCCAACCCCCGGAAAAAAGTTCAGGCTCGGGATTTATTTTTTTGCTTTAAGCCCTGTGAATCAGTTCTTATTTCTAAAAATAAGAACTGAATACATTTTTTTTTTATGGTTTAATTTGCTTTACTAAGTGATCTGATGCACCATTTTCACCTGCTGGAGCAGAAAACGGGTGAAAAACCCCACAGGTGCACCAGGAGGAGGAACCGAGCCATTTTTAGAGAGCAGAAGATCACAGAAACCAGTGCAACTGCATAACAAAACGCTAAAAATCACCCAGAACCCAAACATGCACAAAAACCACTTTCATTTCCTCTGAAAATGTCAAATCTAGTTCAGCTGCTGTTAGATGAGCTCTATCTGTCTCCCGTCAGCCGCAGTTCATCCGAACCCTATAAAAGCCCTCGTCCTGTGGGTGTGTGAGTTTTATTATACCCCTCTGCCACACGCTCGCTGTCTGTTGCGCGAGTGTTTAACTGCATGAAAGAGCTGTTAAATTCCTGCCGTAATGGCCTCATGTGATGGATGAGAATAGAGTATGTGAAGACCTTACAGCGCCCGAGCGCTTGTTCCTTTATAATGACAAATCCTCCGGCTGGAAGAGCTCAATTAACCTCTCATTATATGCTGACGGAGTCGGGCGCCTGGCGAGGCCACTCATGTAGGACGTGAACTCACAGGAAGTTCCTCTCAAAGCCACGGACGAGAATAAACAGTGGCGTCTGAGATCTGAGCTGGAAGAGTTCGGTCAGAAACGGTGATTTACTCGCCGTCACGTCGATCCAAAGTTTTTAAATACAGTAAAATCATAAATATTGTAAAATATTATTCCAATTTAAAATAGCTGTGTGAATATCTATGTGAATATCTGTTAAAGTGTAATTTATTCCTGTGATCAAAACTTAATTTTCAGCATCATTACTCCAGTATTCAGTGTCACATGATCTTCAGAAATCAGTCTAATATGCTGCTCAAGAAACATTTCTGATTATTATCAATGTTGAAAACAGGTAATATTTTTGTGCAAACTCTGATGCATTTTCATTTTCAGGATCCTTTGATGAATAGAACGTTCAAAATAACAGCATTTATTTGAAACAGAAATCTTTTGTAACATTATAAATGTTTTCACTGTACTTTTTGATTAATTTAATGTGTCCTTGATGTATAGAAGTATTAATTTCTTTAAAAAGTGCTGGAGTACTGTCATTATGCTGCCATTTATAAAGCTTGATAAAGTCAGTCCACGTTCATTATATGAGAAAGAGCAGCATGAACATTCTGCTAAACATCTCCATTTGTGTTCCGCAGAAGAATGGAAGTCTATATAAGACATGAATGAGTAAACGATGGCAGAATATTGATTTCAGGCTGATCTTGTTTAATAATGACTCCAGCAGCTCTGCATGCGTTCACTGCTCTTCACCCTGAGCTCAGCTGTGCTGGGAATGATGAGCAGCTCGTAGCACTTCATCAGCGTTTTTCTGTCTTTAGAGAAGTGCTTCATGACAGAAGGAGCCGCAGGAGCTCTTCATTCAGAAATCCCGCAGATGGAGCGGCGGGAGCCTGAAGATGCGCTGCTTCTTCAACATATGTGAAGACTGAGTAAGAAACTGAGACGTGTGAACCAGATTTAGGTAGTTTTTGTTTTTGAAGTTGTAAATTATTAACTCTTTCCCTGCGAAACACGGAATTTTTCCGGGTTTCCACGTTTTCACTGTTATACACTAGGGGGCACTATTACGCATCTCCTGAATGAGTCTAGAACATGCCGATCAAAAAAACAGGCGAGGAAGACGCAGCAACGATTGATCTCATATGTATGCATATGCATATGAAAAATAATGCGATCATCAACAATAAACAGCATATAAATGAAAACTGCCTAATGTTACCGAGTGAAATGTGGATCCAGGAAGTAGCAAAGGACTGTGCAAGCTTTAGGAGTACTGATGGAAGTGATCTACTGCATCTTTGTTTTGATCATCTTACTGAATATGATCCAGATGTTGTGTTTGATAAAAAATGCGACTTTCTCAGGTTTTTGCTCAGAATGTTGCTGTTGATAAAAAAAAAAAAAGAATGCTTGAAGCTAGAATAAAATGGAACAAACAAAATATTCTGGGGGCCATGAAATTTTAGTGAAAGTCATCAAAAATGCTGGTGGTGGCTGGCAACTTTTTTCGAAATAGCTGGCGGGGAAAGAGTTAAGGTTATTGGAGTGTGTTTTACAAGAAAACTATTTCAGCTTTTCAACTTCAAAATTACTTGACGTTTCATTGTAATAAAAAACATGTCCTGCTCAAAATAAATAAATTAAATTAAAAATGTAAATATATATATAAGGGCTATTTTGCTTAAAATATTTTAAAAACTTATTTTTAAATTATTATTTAAAAAAAAAAATTTTTAAACATTTTCTGTCTTCTATTTTTAGATTTTGTTATTTGAGTGTTATTTTAGTATTAATTGTAGTAGATGTATAGTATATACTATTTATAAATATTTTTAAATTAGCTTTAATTTTAATATATTCACTTTTCATTCTAATTTCAAAGTATTAGTAAGATTTTTACAAATATTTAATATTTGTATTTTTTTCTATTTTTATTTCACTGTTATTTAAGTATTGATGATATTCTGTTATATATTTACTTGTATTCTGAATTACTTTTTAAATTTCCAGTTTTCTTTACATTTTTTAATTAAAAGAATTCAATTGTTTTTCTTTTTAATTGTTTTTTAAATTTTAGTAAGATTTAGTTTACAAACTTTTAATATTTTTATTATGTCTATTTTTATATCAGTGTTATTTTACCATTATTTTTATACTATTCAAGTATTTATTAATATTTTGTATTAGCTTTTTTTCATATTTTCAGTTTTAATTTAAAATTTTTAGAAAGATTTTTTTCTTTCAAATATTTAATATTTTTATTATTTATATTTTTATATCCGCTGTATTTTAGAATTATTCATATACTATTATAGTGCTTATGAATATGTTTAATTAGTTTTTATATTTGTGTTTTCAGTTTTCATTTTAATTTTCTAGATTTTTACATTTTCTGAAGAAAACATGAGTTGCTATGTGGCTGCTGTTCAATAAAGGTATTGAATGTGGAAGTAGCTCAGATCCTTTGATGAAGGATTCGATGAGTTCATATTGAGTTCATATTTTCCTCAGCAGAAACATCTGGTTCCTCAGAGAAGCAGTTAAGATCTTAAAGAGATGCAGGTTTTTAGTTCTATAGATGATGCTGTTCATCAGCATGATGCTCTTCTCCTGTTTAGAGCAGCTGAATGGATCTGTCAGCTGTTTTCTCACTCATTTCATCATCATTAGAAGTTGTTTTAGACGTTCTCCTGGCGTTTTTCTCAAACCATCAAACATCATCTGCCACACGACAGATTTCACTGGAACGCATCTCATTTCTCATTTCTCTTCAACAGTTGCGTCTTATTAACTGGATCCGAACATCAGCCAAATATCAGTCTGAACATCCATCAAACGTGTTTGTGTTTCCAGCCCCGACTCGAGTGCTCTTCTCGTTCGACGTGGGGAACGGTCCTCTGGAGGTGAAGGTGGAGACGCCGGCGACTCTGAACGACGAGCGCTGGCATCACGTGAGAGCCGAGAGGAACGTGAAGGAGGCCTCGCTGTATGTGGACCATCATCCCGGCGTCGTTCAGAAAGCCCCCGCTGACGGACACATTCATCTGCAGCTCAACAGCCAGCTGTTTGTAGGTAGGAGAACATTTCACAGATCAATGATGTCTGTTCATCCTCAGAAGTCACAGTGCTGATATCATGCTTTGGATGGATGGATGAAAATCTGGAATCTGAGGGTGCAAAAAAATCTAAATATTGAGAAAATCACTTTAAAGTTGTCCAAATGAAGTTCTTAGCAATGCATATTACTAATCAAAAATTAAGTTTTGATATATTTACGGTCGGAAATATACAAAATATCTTCATGGAACATGATCTTTACTTAATATCCTAATGATTTTTGGCATAAAAGAAAAATCGATAATTTTGACCCATCATAAAAGAAAAATGTATAATTTTGACCCATACAATGTATTGTTGGCTATTGCTACAAATATACCCCAGCGACTTAAGACTGGTTTTGTGCTCTAGGGTCACATTTGTCCCTTTTGTGTGAATCTCACAAAGAAGAACTGTGTCATATTCCAAAATCAAATAATCAAATAGGACATTTTGCTTAAAAATATTTTACACAAATAAAAAATAAAACATTTTTTACTAAATACAAATAAAAAAGGAAAATTTGCTTTCAAATATTCTATATATTTTTTTATTATTTTTTCCTTTTTTTATATTTTTTATTTCTAATTCAGTTTTATTGTAGTATTATTTATATACTATTTTAACAGTATATAACAGCTTTCAAAGATTTTATATTTTTATGTCTATTTTAGTTTGTTTTTTTTACTATTATAGTATGTATTAATTTATTACGATTAAAGGGGAATTTTTGCTTAGAAATATTTTATATTTTTTATTTCTAATGAATATTTTTATGTTTCAATTTCAGAGTTATTTTAGTATTATTTATGTACTATTATAGTATTTAGCAGTATTTTGAATTGACTTTTATTTTGACATTTTCATTTTTAGTTTTAATCATGTTGTGCCCGTTTGTCATTTTTATTAGTGTTTGTGTTTTTAATATTTACTTAATTTATTTTATTCCAGCTGTACTTTTAGTAATGTTAGTACTTTAACTTATTTCAGTTAATTTCTAAAAAATATTTCTCTTTTTTTCTTTAGGTTTGTTTTTCATCTAATATTTATGTTTTATTTTAGCTTTATTTCAATTACCAAATTAGTTTTACTTTTAGTTAAAAATAAAACTACTGTTATATATATTATTTTGTCTTTACATATTTTAAAACTATAAAGTGTTTGCATTTTGTTATTATTTTAATGACAATTAACCACCATTCATCATTATTATTATTATTATTATTATTATTATTTAATAAAGTTATTCATACATCACTGTATTTATTATATTGACTTTATGATGATTTTTTTAAAATACAGTATTTAGAATAATTAAAAATTAATGATAATTATAACATCCAGATGCATCATAACTCATAATATGGAAAATTTGGAAGTAAAAGTCCTGAAAATAATGTTTAAAAAAAGGTTTAAAAAATGGTCTTTATGCTTTTTTTCTTTTGGTTTTGGGGGGTGAAATCTGAGACAAGTTCTGAGCAGGTTTCATGAGATTCAGTCCCGGTGTGAATCTGAAGGGCTGAAACAGGCTGTGATGCTGTGACTCTCAATGCCAGTGCTTTCTGTGAAGCTGAAGATCTGTTGACCTTGACCGAGCAGCTGGCAAATCTGAAAGGTGTCTGTGTGTTGGAGGAATTCAGCGCGAATGAATTGAAGTTTTCCTGTAAGTGTTGGCAAAGTAGTGTGATTATAGTTCAATCTTTACAGCTCCATCTGCAGCAATTGGATTGGAGGTTCCCATGACTGTTCAAATGCGGCCGTCTGCTCATCTAGCCATGAAGAACTCCATTTCAGCCCGTTTATAATGCAGGTCTGAGGTCTTCTGGGTAAAACAGATCAGTCATTCGACTCCAGGAGACGCTCTCAGTATTGCAGATATTCTATTCAGCTCATAACATGAGAAAGAAAGTCATTTTTTTTATCAAGTTATCAGCTTTGATAGGCTGCTGCAGACTCGAATGAGGCTCACAGGTCACTCTTTCAGAGACTTCATGGAGATCTCAGTTATTATTTCCACTAAAATATCACGTTCATCACAGATGTTTCTTCAACAGTTCTTTAGGAGAAATACAAATAAACACACATGCGTCAATAGATGTCATCCGGTACAGTATAGAGCTGTAAAACTAATGTAGAATTATTGATTTTTTGAAATAGTTAACAATTTGCATTTTGATATTATTTTAATGACTTTAATACTTTAATAGTTCTAGTTTTAATTAACAGTATCAACACTGTTCTATTTTAAGTTATGTATATATATTTTGGCCTATTTTAATAGTTTTAGTTTAACAGTTTTAGTTAACGATGACACTTTTCTGTTTTAAATTATTATTATTATTATTATTTGCATATTTTAGTACCATTAAGTTTGTTTGTTTGTTTGTTTGTTTGTTTTGATATTATTTTGATTAATTGAATAGTTTTAGATTTAGTTAACAATAACAACATTGTTCTATTTTAGATTATTTATGTATTTGTTTTGCATATTTTTGGACCACTAAGAATTTTTTTATTTTATTATTATTATTATTATTATTATTGTATTATTATTTTTTTTTCATTTTGTTTAATTTTTTTTTTTTTTGCAGTTTGTTATTAATTAATGAATTTAATAGTTTTAGTTTTATTAACAATAACAACATTGTTCTGTTTTAATTTATTAATATATATTTTCGGCCTATTTTAGGACCATTACGATATATTTTAAAATTTATTTATTTATTTATTATTGCATTTTGCATTTTGATATTATTTTAATTAATTTAATAGTTTTAGTTTTCTATTATACATTTTTTTTGCATATTTCAGGATCATTAAGGTTTTTTTTTTGCATATTAATGACAATTAACCACAATTACAATCACAAACTGTAAGTGAATTATAAGTGTATTATAGTATTTTTTTTACAGTACTGAGAGTAATTATTAATAATTTGAGACATTAAGATCTCATATAAATACTTAAGAGGGAGACTTAAACAAAACTTTCCATTTGCTCTGATTTCTGTCCAAGCGAAAAATCAGACAAAATAAAGAGACATAATAGTCATCTGTTTCCTGTAGGGTTAGTAACA